GTGTCGACCAACACCAACCCAAAAAAAAAAAAAAGAAAAGTCGTATTACATTACTAACATCTCATGTCAGTGTTACTAATGAGAACTTAACTACTTCCACAAATGTTCGAATCAATTACTCCTCAAATTGGCAGGAAACGTCAAGAAACGACCTATAATTATGACGTTGTTGAGACGCGAAGTTGTTTGACCCGCTTAAAAGGGAGTACGAATCTGGCCCTTTGATTAACCACCCGATGAGACGTGGTACTGTATGGTGTGACATGTGGAGATGTCGTGCTCAAATCCAAGGTTTTTGTGAAAAAACCAAGTCTTTGATTGTCGCCTGCACGCTGTAATAATATCAGATTCGGTTCAGGAACCTGTAATCATGTCGGCAACAGCTGAATTCTTCGTCTCGCTGGGTGGTTAGGGTTAATTTTGTCATTAACCCTCCAATTCCGTTCAGGTACTTTCGTTAGAAATTTTCCACTAATTCAAAATCGTGAAAAACACCTAAAAATTGTATTCATCTGGTGTGTTTCTCCATCCAGCAATCCGGTTTGGTTGGGTTCCATATCAGCTTCACAAGACCACTCGTTTCCAGCCGTACCATTAATCTCTATCCGAATAATATCTAAATCGCGACGTACGTCGTAAATCAGCCTTTTCATTATGAGGTAACATGGTTTTGGATTTAAATGTGCGTCAGGCTCGTCAAGAAGGACAATGGCAGTTAAAATAACAATCTAGAAACAGTCTTGTGAAGAAAGAACTTAATGTGACGTTTTCTCCTTGTGGAGGTCTATTCGGTTCAGTGGAATTGGAGTTTGAATGTGTTGGTTGAGTCCGGTTGTTTGAAAGTAAACTAAGCTCCGGAAACAGTAATTAACACTTATCAAATGACAATTACTGTACATTCTCGTGCTGACAATTGTCTCTTTTTGAATGTTCTTTGCTTGACTAGACAATTTGAGTGGCTGGCATTGACTTACGCTGTTTAACAGTACGGCGGGGTTATTATCACCTTCGAACCAATGAGTTCTGTAAAGCGTATTTTATTTGGAAACAAAAGTAAGTGGGTAAACAAATTTGGATTTTTTGAAAAATTGTATTCGTAGGAATTTACTGAAAGATGATTTCAATCGTAAACACTAGTTGAAAACAAAAATTTTTTCGTTGAAGGCGATAATTCCAATCCCGGTTGTGCACGGTTGCACAGGGTAATTTTAAATATGAATCATTTTTTCTTAAATTAAATATAAAAAAAGTGTTTCGAAAACAAAACACAAGGTCCCTAAGATTTTATAATATTTTTAATAAAGATACTAGAAACTCCTAAAACTATACAGCAGAAATCCACAAAATTTTTCCAATTCAAGTCAAAGGCCCTCAACATTCTTTCACATTCTTAAAAAATAAAAGGACACTAGGAGCTCCTAAGGCTTTTCGAACACAGAACACCAGGAGGGCCTAAGATTTTTTCGAAGTGGTTCAAAAGACAAAGCCCCCCAAGATTCTCTCACATTTTTACTTCCCGAGCGTAAGCAAAGGAAGTATTGTAATCGAGTCCGTCGGCCGACTCTCTACTTTTACGTTTTCTCGATCTTTTATGACCCCTAGAAGACGAAGAAATAGGTCTCCCATTTCCGTCTGTCTGTCCGTCTGTCCGTCTGTCCGTCTGTCCGTCCGTCTGTCCGTCCGTCTGCCGTCCCGAATTTTTATTAGACAGATAATCTCCGAAAGTACTCGACCGATTGTTGTGAAATTTTGTACTTATATTAAGAATATCATGTAGATGGTAAAACGCTAACCAAAATTTGTCTAATCATCCCCACCACTAATGCGATGACGTCACTTCAAAATTGTACATAGTAAATGGGTTTTCAATTGTATAAAATAACATAGTCCTACACATGTAGTTTACAACTCTGAATCGACTTTTCACCCGAAACGTCCAGATTTTTGGAAAAAAAATCAAAATTATAAAACAACATTTTGAAATTTAATTTTTAATCTGCTAACCAGAATGCTTTGAAATGTTGCAGATGTTTTAAGGCTATAAAGAGCATCATAAATCTTTAGTCAAAAAATATTTGCTTATCCCCTCCAAAAACTTGATGACGTCAGCTCAAAAGTTTGTGGAATAAATCATATCTAAAATGTACAAAACATGATGAGTCTGTACTTGTGATCTATCACTCCATTCATATTTTTTGGATTTGCGTATACAGGGTGACTCAAAAAAATTAATGAATGCGTAAATATATTTTATTGATTTAATCAGGAACTACAAAACCGAATGCTTTGAAATCTTGCAGATCTTTTAAGGTCATAAAGAGCATAATAAATGTTTAGTCAAAATATATTTGCTTATCCCCTCCAAAAACTTGATGACGTCAGCTCGAAAGTTTGCCGAATAAATCATATCTAAAACGTATAAAATATGATGAGCCTGTACTTGTCATTTATCACTCCATTCATATTTTTTGGATTTGCATATACAGAGTGACTCAAAAAAATTAATGAATGTGTAAATATATTTTATTGATTTAATCAGGAACTACAAAACGGAATGCTCTGACATCTTGCACATGTTTTAAGGTTATAAAGAGCATAATAAATGTTTAGTCAAAATATATTTGCTTATCCCCTCCAAAAACTTGATGACGTCAGCTCGAAAGTTTGCCGAATAAATTATATCTAAAATGTACAAAATATGATGAGTCTGTACTTGTCATTTATCACTACATTCATATTTTTTGGATTTGCATATACAGAGTGACTCAAAAAAATTAATGAATGCGTAAATATATTTTATGCATTTAATCAGGAACTACAACACGGAATGCTCTGACATCTTGCAGATGTTTTAAGGTTATAAAGAGCATAATAAATGTTTAGTCAAAATATATTTGCTTATCCCCTCCAAAAACTTGATGACGTCAGCTCGAAAATTTGCCGAATAAATCATATCTAAAATGTACAAAATATGATCAGTCTGTACTTGTGATCTATCACTCCATTCATATTTTTTGGATTTGCATATACAGGGTGATTCAAGAAAATAAATGAAAGCGTAAATTTATTTTACTGATTTACTCAGGAACTACAAAACCAAATGCTTCGAAATCTTGAAGATATTTTAAAATTATCATAAGCATGGTAAATTTTTGATCAAAACGTATTTGGTCGTCCCCCCTAAAAAATTTATGACGTCACCACAAAATTTTGCTGAATAAATCCTATCTAAAATGTACAAAATATGGTGAGTCTCTTCTTGTGATTTATCATTCCATTCAAATTTTTTCGATTTGCATATACAGGGTGATTCAAAAAAAATAATGAATGCGTAAATTTATTTTATTGATTTAATCAGGAACTACAAAACCGAATGCTTTGAAATCTTGCAGATGTTTTAAGGTTATAAAGAGCATAATAAATTTTTAGTCAAAATATATTTGGTTATCTTCTACAAAAAACTGATGACGTCAGCTCAAAAGTTTGCCGAATAAATCGTATCTAAAATGTACAAAATATGATGAGTCTGTACTTGTGATTTATCATTCCATTCATATTTTTGGATTTGCATATGCAGGGTGACCCAAAAAAATTAATGAAGGCGTGAATTTATTTTATCGATTTAATCAGGAATTACAAAACCGAATGCTTTGAAATCTTGGGAATATTTTAAAGTTATTATAAGCATGGTAAACTTTTGTTCAAAATGTATTTGTTCATCCCTCCTAAAAAAATTGATGACGTCACCCTTAAATTTTGCTGAATAAATCCTATCTAAAATGCAAAAAATATGATGAGTTTGTACTTGTGATTTATCATTCCATTCATATTTTTTAGATTTTCTTAAGAGGTGGTTCAAAAAAATTAATGAAGTCAATTTATTTTATTGATTAAATTAAAGGCAACACTTATTATTAGTATTACACCCCAACCAACCCAATTTGGTAGACACAAAATTTGTTAAAGGAAAAACTCGGTTGAAACATAAGGGTAGCACGCTTATTTACATCGACTTTAACATTACAGACCTGCATTTGTTTTATGCGCTCACTTGGTTCCGCGAATGTGAAATAGACATGTTTATAATCAACCACTTGTGAATTTCACCGTCAAGAATTAAAATAAAACCCAATGTTTTATATAATAAGCGGAAGTCGAAGCAATAAAACCGACGGTCGTTTTGTTTACAGTTTCTCTGTTTGGCTCTCGCGTATGCTGTTACGCCTGTCATCTTAAATTAAGAATGTTTATACATACACGATTTTCAGTTGCCTCTGATACGTAGGTATACGTGAGTAAATTGTTTCGTTATTTTATTGATTATTACAAATCAATATTCAAACGACCCAATTCATTTTCCCGAAAATTTGAGAATATAATAATTTTATTCTTAGTATTACATTACATCTATCCCAACTGATATACGTGTCCTTGCAAAAATGTTGATGACGTCATCGCAATTTTTTTTTAAATTCCCACTACAAAAATGTAATGAGAAAAAAAACAGAATAGGCATGCAGTCGTCAAGTTTCCGACAGCGAGGGAAGTACTGTCTAAACTCTTTAGACCAATTTTTTCTAATAACAAATAGACAAATCTAGTCAGCTTTCAATTACCTTCATTCGTGTAGTCCTCAAAGCTGAGCCCGCTGCTATTTTTAACAATCGTCACCGATCTTACATAAGTCATTGAATACGAGTAACTGTTCTTTGATTGCAATTTAAATTACAGATCAAATACAATTACTCTATTGATGACTGTGGAAAAAACATTAGAGAAATGATGTAATAAAAACAAATTATATTAAATGTCGGTACATCAACATAATGTTCTAGCCAGAAAACATTTGAAACGAGAAGGAATTTCCGTATTAAACTGGCATTGAATTTCTCAATCGATGCACAGCGAGTGATCTTGTAGTTGCCTTCAATTAGTTTTATGTTTATTTAATTGCTTGAAAATTTATCAAATTTTCTAATTCTTTGTCCTTTCTGTTTCAGCTGCACCGCAAAATACGTGGGCGAATACTGCCAGCACCTCAATCCTTGCCACACAGGACCCGGACCTCGGTGTCAGAACGGCGGTTCGTGTCTAGTGCGCGTATCTCCCGGTGGATCTCCTAGCTTTACGTGTCGGTGTCCTTTAGGATTTAGTGCGTCGTTATGCGAAATACCGATCGCGAACTCTTGTGACCGAAGGCCGTGCTTGAATGGAGGCACTTGCTCTCTGTTATCCTCCCTGGAGGCGTACCAGTGTTCGTGTGCACCAGGATACACAGGTAATTCATCGCTTAACGGTCCCAAATTGCACACCTGTAGTGAAAAGCTCCAAGAGAAATTTCGCACCCAATTTGTCCGTACTCGTATAATTTATTTTTTAATTGGGGGCCACAAACAGCGCGAGTTAAGCACTCAATCACGACTGGTCCTAAAGAAATCGCTGATTGTGTTCGCCTCGTCCGGATATAAAACGTAATTTATGTAATGGATTTGTTATCGTTCCGAAATTTCTAACTTTCCATAAATAACGTTCGAGGTAGTTGTGGCGCAATTCTAACGATGGCAAATGTGGAGGATAATTATGGGCTTGGGATTGTCCCGAGGCGTACAACTGTACTGTGTCAAAGGAAACTTATTTGGTCGTGAAGACTAACTGATTTCGGGACTGACCCCTCGAATTCCGCGAGTTGTTAAGATTCTTCACAAAGCCAATAATCTGGAAGCGCACTTCAGCTTCCACCTTGATTCAATTATCCTCCTCTCCCGTCGGAGGCGACATGATGGAATGTGTACCTTGCACATGAAACCATAAATATTTATTCTGTGATTGATAATTAATCACGTTTTATGACGTGGGTGGTCTTATCTAATGTTATTAAAGCAGCAACACCAGCTCATCCGTCATTTTCGGTTCAACAGGATGTAATCGAATGCTGCAATTTTAATTTGAATGTCAGGATTTGATCCGATGCTTCTTTAATGTCATCGAAAGGAATCCCGTGAATTATAATTGTTGTGGCTGCGGATTTGATTAAGTGAGAAAATCACGACTTATTTCAAACATTTGGTGGTTTAATGAGTCCATCCTGCACTTTATTAGAAATCATGCTGCTTGAATAAATTGGGAGTCGGGTGGTCCAAGTTGGAAGCGTGAGAAAAAAAGAGTTAATTTTTGGAGATTTGGGAGGATTTTTTCGGTGGAATTAGTGATCTGCGACAGATGCGGTTTAAATTATTATAGTTGATGAGCCTCCATACAGAGTTTATTTTTAATAATTGCAATGGTCAAGTTTCCGAACAAAAAGTTAATACAAGATCTTTGTATTTGGCTGCAGAACTTTCCTATTTTGATGGTTATTCCACTTTCTTAAAAGACATATTGAAATCAGTGTTCTGTTTATAATACTAAATGAGCACGTATATTTTTTCTGTAATTGATTTTGGCAAAAAGCGTGTTATATTTCCGTGAGATTCGTTTATGGGAATACCATGTCCAATAAGAATTGATGTGTAGAAGAGATTGTGAGCTCAGTTTCGGCGAAATAGATGAAAAGCCGACGTTCTTCTGCATTGTGTTTTTAGTCTAATGTAAACATTAAAATGTCAGATGTAACGTCCTCCTTCAGGTGTAAATATTGTAACAATGCTTTCTGACGATTGCGATATATTGAGGTAGGAAGTAATGGGTGTTAACAACCTCCACCTTTTCATTTTATTCCTCGTATATCTGTCCCACCTTTTAAAATTCGCATCTCGAACCAGTCATTTGGTTCTATCTGAGTAGTTAAATGAATGGATTTTCTTTAGATGGCAAAAAATTGTTATTGGAAAAACTTCCTACTAAGAGTAAAAGGTAAACTGGGACAAGTAACACAAATAGCGTCGGCTGAAATTCCATCAGAATCAAATAATAATAATAAAATGTGGTAAAATTGATTGTTGCCATTTTAGAGATTATTCTACACATCTTTAATAATGTTAAAAGAAGAAAAATCAAACAACATTTATATAGCACAAAAATATTTATCTTGAACAATTGTCGCATCGGCGCGGCTGTCACGGATTAATTCCTGTCCCTGGTACTCTTACGCGGTTTCCGGCCTGCCAAAATTTACGTAGTTACACAATAAAATAATTTAGTTTTATATTATAAAGAAATGTTTTGATCTGTTTATATTATCATTAAAACAAATCATGTTATACAAACACAATTTGATCTTTCTTCTTTCAATATTGTTAAACAGATTTGAGGATCTACAAAAAATGTCTGTTTTTTCCATAAAGTAATTATAATTTTCAAAAAAGTGCATTGAGTAGTATTACAAAAAAATCTTCAGATTTGGTTTAGTTTTTTCAGATAACAAAAAAGTATATACAGGGTGTCGTAGTGGTTTGTTGGCAGAAAATTATAGATTTATCGTCGATCATTCAAAAATTTTCATATGGAGTCAAAGCGTTTAAGGTTACAAAATTAAAATTATTTTTAATATTTATTTATTTTAATTCTCACATTTTGGTGCTTTATTTTCGGATAAATTTAAAGAAATCTGGAGCTTTGTTGCTGGATGAACCTGAAAAAAGCTTTTGAGCTTTTAGTATTCTATTTTTTATGAATTTGAAACAGTCTTGAGTGCCGCAGAATTTTTTTTTGTTTAATTCGAGAGGCTCTTGGGTACCCATGCTGTATTATTGTGGGAGGTTTTTTGTAAATTATTTAAAACAATTTTGGGGGACTTTGGTGTTCTATTTTAGGAAAATTCTGACCTGACCTGTTGTTGAGTTAATTTTGAGACCCCGGTTTTTTTTTTGGAAAAATTTAAAACAATCTTGAAGTTCTAGGTATTCCTGCTTGGAAAGAATTTGAAAGTGTTTGTTATAATAATTTAATTAAATTTCTTAGAGGATACGTCATTTGCTAAGATCATTCTTACCTTAGTAGGTACCAGCCCCACGCACCCACCCTCTCTTTTTTTAGAGGGATCTCATTTGCCAAAATCAGTCTTATCTTAGCAGGTACATAACGTATTGAAGAGTTAATCCGCCATTTTCCAGACACTCGGTATAGGCTAAAGGGGTGGATAAATTTGCGTTTTTCCTCGCCATTTGAAGAAATACTGTAAAAATAACCAGAGAATCGTCATCCTGACACCCCTCGCTTTGTCGATTCGGACGAATATTACTAATTCTAAAAAAATAAGGACTAGGGGGCAGATAAATTTGCATTTTTCTCCGCTACTTGAAGAGACACTGCAAAAATAACCATAGAATCGTAATCCTGAGAAAATTCCAGATCAAGTAGACACCTCGCTCTGTCGATTTGGACAATTTTAATAATTCGAAAAATATCGAGGAAGAGGGGACGGACATATTTGCATTTTTCTCTATTATTTGCAGAAATATTACAAAAATAACCTCAGAATCGTATTTCTAAAGTACGACATGGAGTGTTGGTTCATTTATTCAATTGGAAACCTGAAGTTGCTGTCAGTTATCTAATTATTGATTATTCTCACCAAATACACAAAAATATATGTATATTATTCTTATTATTATTATTACCTTTCAATTTTCATCACCCTGTGTAACGAAATTGAAGTCTTATTTTGTCAAGGCAAAGTCACAAAACATGTTTTTGCTAAATTGCAAACCTTCAAAAATGCTTTTGTCGGATCTTTTCCTTCTTTTTTTATAAATAATATACACATAACACTCCATAGCCGAATATCATGAGAACTGATAGAGATATTGAAATTCTTTAACCACCATTGTTTTTAGCCTGAAGGGAGAAAGTTATAAAATTAAGCTTCCTCTTTCAAGCTAAAAACAGTGGGGTTTACAGAATTTCAATATCTGTATCCGTTCTCAAGCCCACGGAGTTTTATTTGGGACATTCTGCATATAAATAACAATCGCCATCTACTTACTTGTGCATTGAAAATAATTTTACATTGTAGCTCTAGATGGGTTTAAGTTTAAACGTTGCCAATTTTTTTGTATAAATCTCGAAGGCATAAAATTATTTCGTATTTTTGATGTAATTTTTAATTCAAATATCAAATTGATTAGCATGAACAAGGAACACTTTAGTGTTGCCAACATATTTTTTTTTTTGAGAACAATTTAAATGAGCACTAGTTTTAATGAAATGTGTATAAGTAACAGCATTATTAAAAAATTGGTCTAAAGAGTTTAGACAGTACTTCCCTCGCTGTCGGAAACTTGACGACTGCATGCCTATTGTGTTTTTTTTCTCATTACATTTTTGTAGTGGGAATTTAAAAAAAAATTGCGATGACGTCATCAACATTTTTGCAAGGACACGTATATCAGTTGGGATAGATGTAGTGTAATACTAAGAATAAAATTATTATATTCTCAAATTTTCGGGAAAATGAATTGGGTCGTTTTGAATATTGATTTGTAATAATCAATAAAATAACGAAACAATTTACTCACGTATACCTACGTATCAGAGGCAACTGAAAATCGTGTATGTATAAACATTCTTAATTTAAGATGACAGGCGTAACAGCATACGTGAGAGTCAAACAGAGAAACTGTAAACAAAACGACCATCGGTTTTATTGCTTCGACTTCCGCTTATTATATAAAACATTGGGTTTTATTTTAATTCTTGACGGTGAAATTCACAATTGGTTGATTATAAACATGTCTATTTCACATTCGCGGAACCAAGTGAGCGCATAAAACAAATGCAGGTCTGTAATGTTAAAGTCGATGTAAATAAGCGTGCTACCCTTATGTTTCAACCGAGTTTTTCCTTTAACAAATTTTGTGTCTACCAAATTGGATTGGTTGGGGTGTAATACTAATAATAAGTGTTGCCTTTAATTTAATCAATAAAATAAATTGACTTCATTAATTTTTTTGAACCACCTCTTAAGAAAATCTAAAAAATATGAATGGAATGATAAATCACAAGTACAAACTCATCATATTTTTTGCATTTTAGATAGGATTTATTCAGCAAAATTTAAGGGTGACGTCATCAATTTTTTTAGGACGGATGAACAAATACATTTTGAACAAAAGTTTACCATGCTTATAATAACTTTAAAATATTCCCAAGATTTCAAAGCATTCGGTTTTGTAGTTCCTGATTAAATCAATAAAATAAATTTACGCATTCATTAATTTTTTTGAGTCACCCTGTATATGCAAATCGAAAAAATTTGAATGGAATGATAAATCACAAGAAGAGACTCACCATATTTTGTACATTTTAGATAGGATTTATTCAGCAAAATTTTGTGGTGACGTCATAAATTTTTTAGGGGGGACGATCAAATACATTTTGATCAAAAATTTACCATGCTTATGATAATTTTAAAATATCTTCAAGATTTCGAGGCATTCGGTTTTGTAGTTCCTGAGTAAATCAGTAAAATAAATTTACGCTTTCATTTATTTTCTTGAATCACCCTGTATATGCAAATCCAAAAAATATGAATGGAGTGATAGATCACAAGTACAGACTGATCATATTTTGTACATTTTAGATATGATTTATTCGGCAAATTTTCGAGCTGACGTCATCAAGTTTTTGGAGGGGATAAGCAAATATATTTTGACTAAACATTTATTATGCTCTTTATAACCTTAAAACATCTGCAAGATGTCAGAGCATTCCGTTTTGTAGTTCCTGATTAAATCAATAAAATATATTTACGCATTCATTAATTTTTTTGAGTCACTCTGTATATGCAAATCCAAAAAATATGAATGAAGTGATAAATGACAAGTACAGGCTCATCATATTTTGTACATTTTAGATATGATTTATTCGGCAAACTTTAGAGCTGACGTCATCAAGTTTTTGGAGGGGATAAGCAAATATTTTTTGACTAAAGATTTATGATGCTCTTTATAGCCTTAAAACATCTGCAACATTTCAAAGCATTCTGGTTAGCAGATTAAAAATTAAATTTCAAAATGTTGTTTTATAATTTTGATTTTTTTTTCCAAAAATCTGGACGTTTCGGGTGAAAAGTCGATTCAGAGTTGTAAACTACATGTGTAGGACTATGTTATTTTATACAATTGAAAACCCATTTACTATGTACAATTTTGAAGTGACGTCATCGCATTAGTGGTGGGGATGATTAGACAAATTTTGGTTAGCGTTTTACCATCTACATGATATTCTTAATATAAGTACAAAATTTCACAACAATCGGTCGAGTACTTTCGGAGATTATCTGTCTAATAAAAATCCGGGGGCAGACGGACAGACGGACAGACGGACGGACAGACGGACAGACAGACGGAAATGGGAGACCTATTTCTTCGTCTTCTAGGGGTCATGAAAGATCGAGAAAACGTAAAAGTAGAGAGTCGGCCGACGGACTCGATTACAATACTTCCTTTGCTTACGCTCGGGAAGTAATAAAAACATTTCAGCACAGAAGAAACTATTTCAGCATTTGTAAAACTGAAAGGGCAATAAATAAAATAATGGCAGATTATTTTTTCTATTTGCGCAATAAATAATGCAATTTAGAATAATTTAATTAAATTTGCTCATTCGTTAAAATCACTCTTTCTTTAATAAATCAATTTGTATTTGAGAAAAAATAAACGAGCATTTCAAATGTTCCCTAAATTACTAAAATGTGCATTAGTTCACAGTAAAGTGGGCATTACACTCCCACTCTTTAAAGGACGTGCCATGTGCTTCATTTCGCGCCAGTTCGGCAGGGAAGGAATCGGCCCTTCTAAAGCCAAAAAAGCATTAATTATTATTCAATAAATTAATAATGTTTAGTAATTGAGTTTTTTGATGAAAGTTTCTTTGTTAATTTTTTCAAAACTTTTCATTTATTTAGCTACTTTTTTGCTATAAATATCTTATGTTTTTGTTAATTTTGTATGCATATTCATAAAACACATTTTAATACAGCAGGTCTATTTTTGTTTGTTATTTTCTATACAGTTTCAATAATGCACGCACTACAGAAATTCATTGCCCAAAACAATAATTTTGTTATTCCAATTTGCACTTAATATAATGCACAAAATGCAAAAACTTATGGCGCAACATAGTAAATTTAATGCACAAATGTTATTGCGCATAGTATAAAATTTAATGCACAAAGTATTAAAAATAATGCACACTTAATTACGACCCTTTTTTTTATAAATTTCCGATGTTGCTAGACGCCTTCGTTTCTCAGTAAAATGCCACTTCGTCCCTTACGTCATGAAGGTCAGTTCTCCCATCTGCCCCGCGATTACGCAACAACTCCTCGGTCGCTTCCCGGTAAAAACCCGACCACTTCCAACTCCTGCGCTCCCGTTACACCGGACGTCTTTCTTTGCCCGAGTTATCACCACCGATCGGCATCCTCGCAAAAACCGAATCTCGCGTAATTAAATCAGCAGGTGTGCGTGATTGTGGCGCGGCCAAACCGTTACTCTAGATTTTTACAATCCTGATTTGTTTTTTTTTTGTCTCGTTTTAGGCAACCACTGCGAGAAGGAAGACCATTGCGCCTCCCAGCCTTGCAGGAACGGCGCCGAATGCACTTCCGTCGGCGATTCGTATAAGTGCTCGTGCGCGCCAGGATTCACGGGTCCTACATGCAAGGACGACAAGGACGAATGCAGACACAAGCCGTGCGTACACGGGAAGTGCCACAACACACACGGCAGCTACACGTAAGTCGGAGATGTAATTGGTATGATTGGGTTAACGAGGTGCGAGTTATTACGGTATTTATCGAAGGATTAATATTGGGTAAGGCGAGCTCCGGTTGAAGGTGACGTTCCGGTGATTGGATTGCGGCGGATGGTTGAAATATGAGTGTGGTGTTTTGAAAATGTTTTAAGTTTGTTTTGTTTGTTTGTTGTAACACCCCCACAGGGTCTGCTCCGCTGGAAATATGAACGTTAACTTCAACTGTTTATGTTTATCCTTCGAAACAATTCGAAATTTAGTAAAAATTGCAAGAATTTGCAACAACAAAGTAATAATTAATTGAACTTTTTACAATTTGTTGTTTAAGTAAAACAACAGAGCTGATTTGATTTTAATTTTAGATTTAATGGAGAAAAAATTGAATTCATTGAATGTCAACAGTAATATAAAAAGCTCCAGCGTGTGTGATTATTTAAATGTTTGCAAATGAATTCGTAATAAAAGAACATATACATTTTTACTTCTCAAGCGTGAGCAAAATAATAAGTATTCTAATAACGTCGATCGGACGACTGGCTACTTACTTGTTTTCTTGACGTTTCATGACTTCGAGAGTACGAAAAAATAAGTCTCCCGTTTTTGTTTCAGTGTCTATCAGATTTTTATTTGACAGGAAATCTCCAAAACTACCACAACGACTGATGTCAAATTTAGTTTTTTTTGGTTTTTCAGATGAATGTCCAAGGTTTGAATTTAATTCCAGACATTTTCATTTTTTACTTTTCGAGCGTAAGCCACTGGCCCAAAATAATATTCAGAGCATTTTGCTCCATTATAGCTTAATTAATTATGTGCTTAATCGTCTCATTCTTTTTCGACTTATAAACTTCTTGTGTTAACGCTTCATGACAGTGTACAAACTAAAAAATCGGCTCGACTGCAACTTCCTCCGTGTTTCTGATGTCCCCATTGGCTGTATTTTAAGTTTTCATGTATAGTGTACCAAGGAGAAGAGGTCCTTTATGATTTTTACTTTTTAAAACCCCCAATCGAATATGGCCAACTAAAAAAAAAATTACAAAATTCGGGAAACCAATAAAAAATAGGATCAAAGAGACCCATGGATTTTTGATGATTTGTCTTTCAGATAATTTTCCACTTGTTAGATTGCCGTCAATTTGAAAGTTTGAGTTAAAAATGCGGGTGCTGGTCACTTGTGCGCCGCGGCTAGTTCACCACAAGTGTAGAGGTACCTCTAGCTGATGAAAAGCTTCCTAATTATAGTTCTATGACTTTTATAGTAAGTGTAACAATAGATCTGCTTCTGTAAAAAAAAATAAGTAATTTTTCAACAAACTGTTCTATTTTTTTATAAGATGAACCTGTTGGTAGAAAATTTAAGAGCAATAAAAATATTTTCGGCCCTGTATATATGTTTGATGATAAATAAATACATGTGCAGTTGTGTGAAAGTTAAATTATTTCTCCGAGTATTTATATTTATTTTAATATAACTAACACAGGCAACAACCGTTTTTGGTATTAATCCTTAAAACATTTATGCAGATTTTTCTGGCCGTGGGGCGCAACTGACCCATGCCCAAAGATGCACCAATTAAAGACAAACTTTAAAAAAATCTATGGCTGTCGTTGATCGTGTTTTATTGCTCTTTCGTTAGTTTATCTTGAAAATCCTTTTTGGTCGGTTTTCTCCTTTTTAATAAATAATCTAAATTTGGAAAATATATATGGTATTCTATTAATAAAAAAATTGGTATGTAACCTTTAAATGAAACAGGCTATGTATTTAAAAAAAAATATGATCTTTAAAGATAAACATATAGTTCTTGGACCAAAGTTGTATCATTTTAAAAGATCACTTATGTGAATAAATGACATGAGTGTCAATTTTTCAAGCTACTATATTGTCATCAGTAACTACGAATTTTTTATCTGTTTCATTGAATAACATTTTAAGTATTGATTTTACAATATTGGTTGCTTTTGAGTTTTAGAAAAAATCAATCTTTCCATTTAATTAGAATTAGTGTTTAATGTTGACGTCATTTCTGGAATAAAAATATGACGTTTCTATCACATAGACATTAAAATGATACAAATCTGTATAAAGAACTATAGGTTTCTCTTTAAGATTACAAAAGTTACAAGGGTTGTATCAAATAAAAGAGACACCCTATATATATATCGACAAATAACACCATTGTGAAGGTCATTATTCCAGTAAAATGGCCTAAACTCTCTTCTCTAGGTACATAGATAAAAGTATTTTTTCTATAAACTTACGCGTCATTGGTTCTCCAAGAGATTGAAAAAATCAAACCCAAAACAAACCTGCTCAAAATGCTCGAAGTACTTTTAAATGTCCCATCTACAGAGTGTTTAAAAAAAAGCGCACCAACTCAATGGTACATTATTAAGTCCAGCTTAAAATTTTTTACGTCAATTTGACATTCACGTGCAAAAATAAAATATCTAGATAGCTATATCAAAACACGTGAAAAATTAAAATATGGCGACATTCGAAAAGAAAAACTAAATTTTGACTTATCCTCTAGATTTCGACAAAAAAATTTTTTGATTGTGTTTTTCTCCCCATAAAGGGTCCTGAACACGTCATAAATTTGGTTTTGACCACCCTGTATATTCCTCAGGTCGAACTTTCCTTGATTTTTACAAAACTTCGGTTCTCCGTATTATTACAAACCGGATTTTCCACAATACGTTTTTTCTATCTCTAAATTTGAAGATTTCCGAGTCCAACGACCCCATGTCACTTCCCAAGAACGAAAATTGCTACAACACCGGGCTACAACAAATTCTCCGACCACACCAGTCCCATTCTGACCCCTGGGTCATCCAGCCCCGTCTAATGGTTCCGGTTCAGGCTGAATCACTTGTAGAGCAAGCAACCGGTTGTCGGCTCTTACCTGCCCCTACCTCGGCTCGGCTGCATCGTTACTTTTCGCCGCACAACGGCCATTTGTTGCGCCCAAATCAAACACGTCGATGTCCAAAAATAAAAAGACGCCACACACCCATGCGCCTGCGAACCGTCAGTGACAAAAAAATGGCGCCGATTCCCCTCTGTTGCACAACAGCAAAAAGTGGCGCAGCTAGAGCAAGTAGAGCCGGCGCAAAAAAAAAGCAGAAAAGTAGATATGCCAAAAATTCGTGCCGAGATCCGCCGCCTTAAAAGGGTGTACCGCATTCATCACTGTTATTCATAGCCGGTTATGGCGACCGGACGAGTTTCTTCCACTCTCCCATCTCATCATTATCATAATAAAAAAAGAATTAATCCTCAGGAGCGCCTCAAAAGAGTACGACGATCGCGATCACGAGCAACAAATGATTTTAACCTCCACGGCGTGGCATTCAATTGTGGCTTGAACAAATCTCTTGACAGTTTGATTACGATCTGGGCTCGGATCAAGCGTACGTGGCAACAGTGTTTCTATATTTGTACAATATCGCAATGAAAGGATTTTTCCACGTGTCTAAGCCATTCATAACGGACTTATTCATAGGAAACGTAGTAATAAAGATCCGGTTAGGTAAATAATGAGACCCGAGGCGCTACTGGAAAATATGAATTGGTACGACCTTCCCGGAGGATATGTTGTGATCAATATACATAATAGGTCGATTGTTTCTACTTAATTACCAGACCCGTTATACACATAAGCAGTCGCTTTGCCTTTTTTTCCTATCAGAGTCCTTGCCTTTCATTTGTTAGAGCCGCACTTCGAGTAGCTCGATTTTAATTAACGCACCGATAATATCGTACTGCTCCGACACTTCAAGCTTAGTCACTCTACGATCCGATCAAACCACACGGAATCCGCTCGTAGTTCAACCCGGATCTCGACGTCTTCATCCAATTCCAGAAATCTGAGCAATTTCGTCCATAATTCGGTTTCGGCGCCTTCGATTTTAATTCCTTTTCAGCAATTTCATGCTTGCACTCCCGTCGTCAGGGATCATCACGCTGTCTCCGTCTCCCGCTGCAAAAAAAAGAAACGAAAATTCATCATGATAAATTGCCGAGAATGTTGTCGAAAAGTTGGTTCGCTTGACTGACCGCTTTATGTTTTTTCCACACCGGGTCTATGTTTGTCGTACATATTTAGTGTTCCTCCTTTTGTGTTTGACTTGGCAATTATAGTTCTCGAGATTCCATCGAACTGGTTTGACCGGCGCACCGTGTTTCTGCTTTTTACTATAATCACATCAAAAATAAGTCGTGCTGGAAGGGACGGGCCCGAAATTTGTCACAGGACAATCATGGGAACGTGGAATTATGGGTTGGCGTGTGTGTTACAGGTTGATGAAAAAATTCAGTCGGAGAAATATCGTTGTGACGGCGAGTAGAAAACGAGAAGTGAGATTTTCGGTTTAAAAAGTTTGGCATGTCGTTCGCAAAAAGCGGAAACCGAAAAGGACTCATGACTCCACCTTGTCTCAAACTTTGATGACTCATTTCTTTGTGAAATTTGCTCATAATTTCTCATTTCATAATGAGCTGAGACAGGCGCGGATCCAGGGGGGGGGGGGCAATGGGTGCAATTGCCCCCCTGACACACGACCGAGGTACTTTATTTTGACCAATTTCAAAATTGAAATCGCATTTCATTTTGTAAATACAGTACAACCTCTATAATCCGAATTCACGATTATCCGAACATCCAGTAATCCGAACAGAGGCTATTTGAAGTCGATGCTTCTTTAAACCGAATAAAAACTCTATAATCCGAACTGAACTTCGAAACACGCACCTACTTGCAAAAATGACGCAAAATCTTTCTGCATGTGTTGTATGGAATATTTTGAAATTTTTAAAAATTGCGATATTTCGGTTCACTGAATTAATTAACTAATTCTGGAAAAAAGGTTCAAGTTATCGAAGAAATGAGGCCCGAAATCTACAAGAAAATGTATTTAGTTAAATTTCGAAAATCGTCCAAAATGGGTCGAAATTTGCATGAAGGAAATTTTCATTTTTGAAAAAGTTTCTTAAAAATTTTGAAAAAATTCAGGGGTATATGTATATCCCGACGTGCTGATTCCAAAAATATAGCTTGTTAATGGTAACCGAGCAATATTTTCGGAAAATTCGGTGTGAAATTTGAATTTTTCGAAATTTTTAAAAATTGCGATATTTCAACTGGACAAATCTGGAAAAATGGTTTAAGTTATCGAAGAAATGAAGCCAGAAGTGACTTCTGAGGCCCAAATCTACAAGAAAATGTATTTAGTTAAATTTCGAAAATCGTCGAGATTGGGTCGAAATTTGCATACCTACTGGTGATAATACATATTGGAAAATTTCATTTTTGAAAAATTCATCTAAAAATTCTGAAAAAATTAAGGGTATAGATCCCGACATGTTTTTTCCAAAAAGAGCGTGTTTATGGTCACGGAGTAATATTTTTTTAGAATGTATCTATTATCCATTGTCGCTCAAGAATTCTTTAATTTTGTTTAATAAAATTAAGGTTTCTTTCTTGAAGTTTGTTTTCAACTGTGTACGACGTTTTTATTCAATTCCCTTTCAGATTTTTGGGAAAATCACTGATCCAAACAAATCCTTAATCCGAACATATCTTTTTCCCAATTAATTCGGATTATCGAGGTTCTACTGTACACTATACGTGTAACGAAAACAACCAAATGTCACCCATGTTATGTAAAACAGAGTATACTAGCTAAAATTTTATAACTTTTTTTGTTTAGAACGAATTCTAGGAGATAGGTAAAACCGCACAAAAATTGCCCCCCCCCCCCCCCCCCCCTAAACGAAATCCTGTATCCGCGCCTGAGCTGAGAAAGAATTGCAATCTGACTAGTTACTACTTTCATGTTTTATAGGTGTTTCGTAACCCTAGATTACGAAACAATGGGTTTCCCGATTACGTCTATATGTGTGTCTGCTGAGTCACCCCATTTTCTCAAAAATGTGTTTATTTAAAATAATAAAATCATACATATTATAATAACCCTATTTTTTGCTCCATTGCAGCCTAATTTAACTAGTTCTCTGTTTTGAGGACACAGAATTAATCAATTTTCATTTTCTTTTAACACTACGTGCTTAATAATCGAATTTTTTCGACGTATAAACATAAAAAATCGAAGTTGAGCATGTATTGAGAATACATTTTTTCCCGTTCGAAACTACCGGACCGGTTGTTAAATTTTATATATATGTAAGAAATATTGTATATATTGGCAAAATACTAACCAAAATTTGTCTAATAATCTCCACCAATATTGTGATGACGTCCCCTCAAATCTTTTCATAATAAGTAAAGTTTCATTTTTTCTTAAATAACCTATTCCTGTACTTGTAGTTTATGAATCTGCCTTGAGATTTTCCCCGGATTTTTTCTTACACTGTCACTGCTTTTATCTTACTTTGCAAAACGTAAAAGAGTTAATAAACCAAAATCTCAAAAAAATACCATGTAATTTCGACTGATTTTAAATGAAATTTCGGTTAATTAAGATTTAGATTTAATTGGGTCTAAATGGAAGCTTGTAGTACAGAATTATATAATAAAAAAAAAGACCGTAAGTCTTTGACACAAGATCGTCCTAAAATTTATGACGAAATTTTTAGTTTACAACTCGATATTTCAATTTAATAAAAAAAAATCGTAGTTAACGACGTCGAAGTTTCTACTTAATTAAATTAAAGTCAGGACGAACTTATGGGCATCACGGGATGAAGTTTGACGTAAGAATCTAAAATTGGAACAACTTATGTTGCAACTTCGACTTTATTAAACCAAAATTGAAGGCAGTATGTCCAAGTTTTGTGAAGATACGTCACAATTTCACCTTATTTTAAACTTACACTTCGAAATTTTTAAGTAATTAATTCAAATTCTGAGTTATTAAAGCAAATTGTATCACAAAGGAACTGCAGAAAAATAGAAAATTCAAAATCAAAAAGTCCAAAATCAGAGTTAACTTGATCGAAATTTCGAAATAAAAATAAAAATTTTCAGTAAATAAATATATAATTTTAATAATAATGAATTATTTAAACTGAAAGTTTTTTCAATATTATTAAAATTAATATGGAGTTTAAACACGTATCAGCCTCATCAATACAAACAAAAAAAAATAAATAAATAAATAAATATATATTCAAAGAAAATTTACGGTTATCAATTTGTTGAAAAATTGGGCATGGGTCAGTTGCGCGCCACGGTCAGTTATGTGTCTAATAAAAATCTGGACAGACAACAGACAGAGAGTTAGAAAGAAACCAGAAACCAACTTTTTTAGTGCTGTAGGGGTCATGAAACGTCAAGAAAACAAGTAAAATCGGAGGAAACATGCTTAATGTCACATCTCCAAGTCACTTCGATTATGTACAATAACCTTGAAAAGCGAAACCGATGTTTGCGGAGTGCATTGACACATAAGTAACAGTCAATTGAAAAAATTCGGATTGAGACTCAGCAGGGTTCGATTTTTGTTCTTTTTTCGAAATTTCCAGCAAACATTTTTTGGAAGCATTGTTAAGGTGTCGACAAAATCCTTAAATTTTCATTCATCTTCTCGGTGACTAACGAGAGGTGTGCCCAGGGCATGTTTTCTTTGACAGCTGTTCGAGCTGACTGATTGCGGTGTGCCCCGACTCTCAATTAGTTTTTGACCAATTTGTGCGGAGTTCTCACGGTTGACAATTCGATCTTTCTCCGTCATTTCACTTATAAGTAACCAAGTCAATTAAGACGACTTCATTAATTTAATCATCTTTTCAGGTGCACCTGCGACGAAGGCTACACGGGTCAAAACTGCGAGAGCGAATATATACCATGTGATCCGAGTCCGTGCCTGAATGGCGGACAGTGTCGCCAACGTGACAAACATACATATACCTGTGATTGTCCGACGGGTGAGTACTGCAGTTATGAATCACTTAATTAATGACGTCGTGTCTGAAAAAATGTATCTCGGATCGTTATCTTGTCTAAATTCACTTTCTCCTTTCACGTTCTATTGGAGTCTAGTTAAAAAACAAACGGAATAAGTGTGTATACAGCGTTTTTCCATTCAGAGGCAGTGTTTTTGTTGGCTGTCTCCTGAAAATTAATTCATTTAATTGGAATGTTTGCGCTTAAAAAATAGCGGGTTTGATAAAATGTCTTAATAAGGATTAATTGCTTTTGGGCTTCCGCGTCGGAAACGGGGAATTTGGTCGGTTTTTGTGGGACTTTCTATTGGTGCCTTGCGGTTTGGTTTGGATGGTGATATAGATTTGTGCGTTCGGAGGCCAAGAGATCGATGGTTATTTATGAATATTGGCACAAATTGGCGTGGCCTGGGGCGCGATTGTATCAATAAAATTCCGGATCAAGTGCTAAGTAATTGTGCTTAATTAGCGTGTAAGTGCCATTTCCTGTGTGTTATTTTGGGTATAACGAGGTGCAAGAAATAGTTTAAGATACGAATTAATGTAGACTGGAAAGTCGGCCAAAGCATAAAAATTATATGGGCACATAATTTATTATCAAACCGTCGAACTTATTATAAAATACGATTCATTTCTTTATAGTAATAAATCAAAAATTTTTGGGGAACATAAATATTGTTTGCGTTTGTAGATAAAATCAGAATCTTTAGGACCAGTTTATATAAAAAAATCTTTTTTTTATTTTAGTGAAAAGTAAACAAGTACAAATCAGTATCTTAATTATTTATGGAAATTTTGAGAACGCGGCATATTTGTTTTGGTTTCGATAGAAAAATATATTTGCGTGTTCCAGAAATAGATTTATCTTTTTCTTGGCATTGAAATTCTTATCAGGTACTTTTATCGGAGGTTTCTTTGTGCATTTACTATTTCCGATTATTTAGTTGTTGGATATTGAAGGTTTAGATCAAAATGAAGTAACGACCTTTGAATTTTGGATATACCTTCGTTTTCCTAATTGTGTACAAGGTGCGACTGTTGAACAATACCATAAATCAATTCCTATTGTTAATTTTATTATTATTTATTTCACTTGTATATGCAAAAACCGATGCCGACGCGGATCTTTACAACATTGGTGCCGCTCATATACATCGGTCGAACCTAAATACATAATAAAGATTTTATTGCCAATAATGTGTTTATTGTTTGATAATATACTTAATTTGTGGTAAACAATAAAATTTTATCGCTTTGAGTTACACGTCTTTAGAAATGTATACAAATGTTCCGTGGTGAATTAATTTTCAGATTCACTCCGTCTACTTCAGACTGTGCAAATTAAAAAATACGTGCCTAGAGGTGATAATTTTATCATGCCATCGAAAAATTTTCAAAGAGACTTGATTACAACCCGTCCAGGAAGTGAAGATTTTTCTCGGTTCGCTACTAGGCGTCCAGTAATTTTCAGCGATAATTCACGAGCTGTGGCAACTTTTTTTTAAATAAATATCTACAGCTTGGTCTCCCCAGGTTAAAAATGAGCACAGCTCTTAGCGGGCTCCGACTGCATGATTAACAATCCACTGAGATATTAATAAAACAAAAATACATCAATTTATCACACAAAAACCACCTCTCGATCAATCCGCCTATAATTTCGCTGTCATAACCAGTTAACCAAACATGCTTTTACCATCATCCAGGAAGTCCAATCTCTAATTCAATTTCAATCCAGCACACCGCGACCAATTTATAACACCGCGCCGACCAGCCAATAAACCTCCGATACGGGTAATTATCGGGTCACAGTTAGTGGATACTGGCCAATTATAATAATTATTGGCCGTTCGAGGCATCGCCGACACCCGAAATCGCCATCAAAAGTTCTCGGGGAGAGCGGCCTGTGACATGTTTATTAGAACCGTTTTCGAAATCTAACCGATGGCCATCTCGGAGCGCACACGACAACGACCAGAGATGCATACGATTTGAATTAAATGCCTTTCGGTCGTGCCGTTCTCGGGATTCAAATTGCCTGCCCGTTTGACCTACAACGTTGCACTTGTGGAAAAAAGTCACGATGTGTCGATGTCGGTAGTAATGGGCGAAGTGGACAAGGAACCGCAGGATTCGGCCTTTGTGCTTATGGAATGCCGAGCGGTGTCGGATAATGAACTTGGAGGAACATTATATTATGGCTGGGCAAAAACATTTGTATCCAATAAAATTTTATTACCACTCATAAATAAAGAACATTACAATGGTGGATAAAAAGTACTATATTGGTCGTTACGAGTCGTTGTAGCGGGTTTTTACATGATAATACATCATAGTTGCTTTAATTGGTTATGTATGCGCTGGGGCCTGTGTTTGTTTAAGTGCAATAGGGAACAGAGCTTGTGCTTAACAATGGATAATCAGAATATGGACCGAAGCTTACGACGTCTAAATAATGGAGCGACGCACCAACGGAGCTGGGTGGGTTTTATGGTTGCAGAAACTAAATGGAAACGCTGTTTATACCGTTTTTATTGTTATTTCCAACACTATTTTTTTCTATACATTTTTTTCTATTTGTTGATAAAGTAAGAATATTCTCTCTACTTCTTAATTGTTTCATAATCTATACTCCACCTGCGGCTGCCTCCACCACCTACTTCGCGATAAAGGCTAGAATGGATTTCATGATCCGTAGAGTAAAATAACATACACCTACAGGTGTAGTTTATGAATCCGTGTTGAATTGTATCCAATCTCGGAATCGTAGAGACGTCTTACAAGTTATCGTAAGCATGATAAATTTTTAATTAAAATATTTTTGTTAATCCCCGCCAAAAAAATCAATCCTTGTAGAGGTTCTCAAAAAAAACAAATTCGCAAAGTCAAATTTTACAACTTCTCGAAAAAGCTGAATATGTTCTATTGTACTTTAGGGACGAGGGAAATTCTGTCGAAATAACGGACCACATTTTTTTACGTTAAAAAGTTTTATTAAAAAGTTATCTAGTGGGTTCGAATAAAATTTAAATGGTGACGTCACGTTCTTCACCTTTTCCATTGGCTACGAATCAGTGGTAGGTCCGCCGGACATGTCATGTTGGCGGGAATTTTAAAATGATAAAGTATTTTTTATGGCACACAATTGCTTTTTACTTCCCGAGCGTAAGCAAAGGAAGTATTGTAATCGAGTCCGTCGGCCGACTCTCTACTTTTACGTTTTCTCGATCTTTCATGACCCCTAGAAGACGAAGAAATAGGTCTCCCATTTCCGTCTGTCTGTCCGTCCGTCTGTCCGTCTGTTGTCCCGGATTTTTATTAGAGAGATAATCTCCGAAAGTACTCGACCGATTGTTGTGAAATTTTGTACTTATATTAAGAATATCATGTAGATGGTAAAACGCTAACCAAAATTTGTCTAATCATCCCCACCACTAATGCGATGACGTCACTTCAAAATTGTACATAGTAAATGGGTTTTCAATTGTATAAAACAACATAGTCCTACACATGTAGTTTACAACTCTGAATCGACTTTTCACCCGAAACGTCCAGATTTTTGGAAAAAAAATCAAAATTATTAAACAACATTTTGAAATTTAATTTTTAATCTGCTAACCAGAATGCTTTGAAATGTTGCAGATGTTTTAAGGCTATAAAGAGCATCATAAATCTTTAGTCAAAAAATATTTGCTTATCCCCTCCAAAAACTTGATGACGTCAGCTCAAAAGTTTGTGGAATAAATCATATCTAAAATGTACAAAATATGATGAGTCTGTACTTGTGATCTATCACTCCATTCATATTTTTTGGATTTGCATATACAGGGTGACTCAAAAAAATTAATGAATGATTAAATATATTTTATTGATTTAATCAGGAACTACAAAACCGAATGCTCTGAAATCTTGCAGATGTTTTAAGGTCATAAAGAGCATAATAAATGTTTAGTCAAAATATATTTGCTTATCCCCTCCAAAAACTTGATGACGTCAGCTCGAAAGTTTGCCGAATAAATCATATCTAAAATGTACAAAATATGATGAGCCTGTACTTGTCATTTATCACTCCATTCATATTTTTTGGATTTGCATATACAGAGTGACTCAAAAAAATTAATGAATGCGTAAATATATTTTATTGATTTAATCAGGAACTACAAAACGGAATGCTCTGACATTTTGCAGATGTTTTAAGGTTATAAAGAGCATAATAAATGTTTAGTCAAAATATATTTGCTTATCCCCTCCAAAAACTTGATGACGTCAGCTCGAAAATTTGCCGAATAAATCATATCTAAAATGTACAAAATATGATCAGTCTGTACTTGTGATCTATCACTCCATTCATATTTTTTGGATTTGCATATACAGGGTGATTCAAGAAAATAAATGAAAGCGTAAATTTATTTTATTGATTTACTCAGGAACTACAAAACCGAATGCTTCGAAATCTTGAAGATATTTTAAAATTATCATAGCATGGTAAATTTTTGATCAAAACGTATTTGGTCGTCCCCCCTAAAAAATTTATGATGTCACCACAAAATTTTGCTGAAAAAATCCTATCTAAAATGTACAAAATATGGTGAGTCTCTTCTTGTGATTTATCATTCCATTCAAATTTTTTCGATTTGCATATACAGGGTGACTCAAAAAAATTAATGAATGCGTAAATTTATTTTATTGATTTAATCAGGAACTACAAAACCGAATGCTTTGAAATCTTGCAGATGTTTTAAGGTTATAAAGAGCATAATAAATTTTTAGTCAAAATATATTTGGTTATCTTCTACAAAAAACTGATGACGTCAGCTCAAAAGTTTGCCGAATAAATCGTATCTAAAATGTACAAAATATGATGAGTCTGGACTTGTGATTTATCATTCCATTCATATTTTTGGATTTGCATATGCAGGGTGACTCAAAAAAATTAATGAAGGCGTGAATTTATTTTATCGATTTAATCAGGAATTACAAAA